ACATATAAATAACGTCTTCTGTTTTTTTTTTAAAAAAATAAAAAATGGATAGGTAAACAAATATTTTTTTTTTATGAAAAGGCTAAATTATAATTAAATTATGAAATTTCTTTCATTGTGAAAGGCTAAAATATGACATTCCTTTCATTATGAAAGGCTAAATTATAATTAATTTATGTATTATGAAAGGCTAATTTATGATTAAATTATGCATTATGAAAGGCTAAATTATGATTAAATTATACATTATGAAAGACTAAAAAATGATTAAATTATGACATTCCTTTTATAATATTCTTAAAGTCTTTTATAGTATATAAAAAAGAATATTGATATATTAAGAATATATTGTTATTTTTTTTAAAAAACAAAAGTATTAATTTATTATTTTAAATTTATTAATAATAATATAGATAAAAAATCAAATCCATGTTATTGTGATCATAAGTTATTAGTTTTTTTTAGAAAAAAAAATACAGAAAGTCTTAAGAGAATAAAATCAGATTCTATCGAAATTGGTTAAAAAATATCATTTCATTTAAATTTACACATATAAGAAAGGATCATAGATGGGATAAATTAAATAAATAATTAATATATTTTGAAATTAATTAATTTATAATTGATTATTAAATAAAAATTTGTTATATTTAGTTATGAATAAGATTGCTAAATGAAATTCAGAGTTTAGATAGATATCTAAATCGTAAAAGTAAAACTTGGTTAAATTATATTAAAATCTTATTAAAAAATCTGCAAAATTCAGAAAAAGGTAAAACTATATCAAAGCTTATAAAAATAGCAAAACTATATCAAACACTTAATTAAAATTTAGCGAAATTAAAGGCTTAGATATTTAGCCAAATCCAAAATGAGTTTAGACCAGAGATGATGATTTTCTGCATAATGCAGAACTCCGCAGAAATCGTGAAATATATGTTCCAATATGAAATATGTTAAATATGACAAAAAATATTATGGAATCAGGGTAAAATAAGTTTTAATAGTAATCACGTGACTTTTATAATATCGATGCGATAAAAATTGATCAATCTTTTTTTTGAAGATTGATCTTTTTTTATCATCATTTACAAATTTTTTTTATAATGCCTAAAAGAAGAGGTTCAAAAAAAAAATTACAATTAATTCTAGAGTAGAAGAAAACCTGGGTGAATTTCATGTTGATAATGGAATATTGTTTTGTAATTTCTGTAACCATTCTGTTGACTGGGTACGAAAGTCAACAATTAATGACCATCTTAATAGTTTAACACACAAAAATAATAAAAATCTATATGAAAATATACAACGTCGGCATCAGTAAATTCTTACTACTTCCTTTACTTCCTCAGAATCAAAAAAAATATGATTCATGATTTAGTTACAGTTTTTGCTATAGCAGATATTTAGAGAAGATTAATTCTATGCTTAGTTTTTTTAAAAAATATTGTAAAGAAGGTGGGGCTATTTCACAAGCAGCAACATTACGCTAATTATATGTATCTCGCGTTTTTTCTTTACATTTAGAAACTCTAAAAAAACCTTTTTTGTCAAAAATATGTTTCTATTATAATAGATGAAACTACTGATGCTTGTCAAAGAAGTGTAATTAATACTCTTTTTGTATATAAAAAAGACACAAAATTAGTTTTTGTAGACTTTCTTGCACGTGTAAATAATGTAACTATGGGTCAAACCCTTATTAGCATTCTTTCTAAATATGATATTTCAATTACTTCTCCTCGTTTATTTCTTACAAATTTAGCTGTATATATGATAAAATGTTATTGCGAAATTTTACATCCTATTATACCACAATTAATTCACATTCCCTGCTGTGCATATATTTTAAATTTAATTGGGTAAATTTTAATTTTATTATATATTAAATTATTTAATGAATTACTTAATTACTAATAATAAAAATATATTTTTTAGTGACACTTAGTGTATATTTAATCATTTTTCAGTTGTTAAAAAATTATTAGAAAAAGTCAAAGAAATATTTACTAGAAGTCCAGCACGTCATCGTCGATATATTGAACACTTAAAATTACATGGAATTAATCAACCATGAAAAATTCCTCTTCCTTGTAAAACACGATGGAATTCTTGGTTTAAAATGGTTAATTATACAAAAGATCATCTTATATATTGGCATGAATTTTTCAAAATGAAATTGAACTTGATGAAACTTCAACATTGAAAACTATTATTGTTCTTCTTTCTAATACACACTTTGGGCATATTATAATTTATACTACTTTTATTTCTAATTTTTCTCGTCAATTTGTTCAAACTTTGGACTTTTTTCAACAATAAGAAAAGCCAATATTTCCTTTTATTGAAAATCAATTACAAATTCTTTTAGTATATATAGAAAGTAATATGGTTGCAGCAAGTTTTGGAGTTAATTTAGATACATTAATAATTAATCATCATTTTAGGGTCAGTGATTTTTATCCTATTTTCCAACAAGCATTTAATGTAGCATATAAAAAATTTGCAAAGCATATTCCTTCTCATCCTAGGCATTCTCTTTTTTATGCTTGTCAAATATTCAATCCAAAATTTGTTCATCTTGGTGATATTATATGAAAAGATATACGTCAACACGATATAATTGCAGAATTGGATAATCCATCTAATAATTTATTAGATGAATGGGCAATTTATTGTGGATCAACAATTGACATAGAGATCTCATTAGATGAATACTGGTTAAATATGGCTGAATATTTACCACTTTTATCTCAAAATGCATTAGACTACATATGGTTACCCATTTCTTCTTATAGTGTAGAACGAAGTTTTTCTAAATACAATTCAATTTTAGATAATAATTGGCAAAATTTATCTAAAGATTCTTTACGTAGTTTAAATATGCTTTATTTTAATAGGTGCATATAAAATTTTATTTTGTAATAAAATATATTTGAAAAATTATAATAAAACTCCGCAGAAATTTGCAGAATTTATAAATTTTATAATAAAAATCATGCAGATTATTGTATATTTTAATTCGCAAAATGATTGCAGAATTTATTTTTAATAAAAACAGAATCAGTGTTTTATAACCGCAGAAAATCATCGTCCTTGGTCGGGTCAAGCTTATGATTTGACCTGATAAAATTCGGGTCAACCAATCAAATTAAACGAAATAAAATATTTAAAAAAAATTTTTTTTTTTGTTTATATTTTTTAAAACATCTTTAATTTTAAACTCTTTCCCGAAAAATAACAAAAATGCCAATAACTAGACAAACGAAAAATAGAAATGCTAATAATAACTCTCAAACTTTTTCAAATAATAAAAGAAACAATAACAATACGAACGATAACACTTCTACTAGCTCCAGCCAACAAACCTTACTTACTGGATAGACTGAACAACCTAAAAAAATTAATCTTTCTTCTGATAATTTTTCCCAAAATATATAGAACAAACTATTACCAATATTATTACTGGAAATGACTTTATTTTACCTTCTAATGACTCAACACTTGAACATACCACCCCAGAGGTTATGGATATCGACCCAACTTCTACAGACTCAAATGATAAAGAAACTTTTTCTTCTCCTATGAAAAATATGACTAATGACTCTATGCACGCTTTCAGCTCCAGTTCCCACAACAACAATAACGATATTCTTCACCCAATCACAAACCAGGTCATTATAAACAAAGGTAAACAAAAAGAAGATACTTGGTCAGAAGAAATGGAAAACGAAGAAAAACACGTGATCATAATTCTCAAGAAATTTTTTTCAATATTATTACTGCACCCACGCGTTTCTATGTGACAGACAATGCCTCAGACATAAAACGAAATTCGATTGCTGAAAAATGCACATTCGTCAACTCCTTTTCATTCATTACAACGGATACCAAGGCTCGACTTATATTTCCAAAATTAGAAAATTCTTTATTTACTTTGACACGATGGACTCCCTAAAAAATACACTCACAAAGACACAAGAAACACAACATAATCCTATTTTTACCATTGTCGATCCTGCGATCAAACAACAAAGACAAAACGCCAAAAAAGGCTGAACCATAAAAGTATCAGATATTCCACTATTTATCAAATCAGATGTTGTTAGAAATTACTTCACCAAATATGGAAAGATCTCCTGATTTTCTATGATTATCCATGGACCCTAGCAGATCGCCTTCATTATTTTTGATAAATCTGATTTCATCAAAGCTTTTTACGACCAAGTTTAGTCCGTTAATTTTTTAGAATTTCTGCTTAGAGTTGAACCAACTGATTTCGACCCCACACAAATGACACTAAGACAGCAGTTCGAACTTAAACTCACAGGGTTACCCTTCAATACTGATCAACGCCAACTTATTGACTTTTTACTTCACATCAATGCCAAATCCTATTTCATTCCATATGATCAACAATATAGACTCAGGCTATATGCCTTTATTAACTTCGATAGTGCTGAAGATGTCGCAGCAGCTTCTTCACAATCGCAAAAATTCAAAGGAAAAATATTATATTGGATGGCTCCTTCTAAAAAACACCGTAGAAGCTGTAGTGCCTCCGATCATGAATTTAAAGACTACACTAACTGCAAACCTACCAATACTTATCGTCCTTTATATGATCATTTTAAACCTGAATAATACCATCTTCCAAGATCATTTAATTATGTCAATGGTAGTCCATCTAAATCATACTCTCAAACACTTACTGACCCAAAAAAACCTATTTCCTCCAAAGGAAAGACCAACAATGTTCCTTCAAACATGGTTGACGCTTTAAAAGTCTTTCAAGAAAAACTTGATATCATTGAAAACAAACACGTCTCGATAGATGATGAGATAATTTCCCTAAAAAATGCAGCCATTAAGCAAGATCAAAACCAAAAAGACATTGACTTTCGCCTCAACCATCTTGAATTTATGCACTATGTCATACATGACTCCGATCAAATTAATGATCCCACATATGAATTCCACTTCACAACGGTGATGAGGAAATGGAATGTGTGCCAAATAATCCTCCTGTTATTAATAACGATCAAACTGAATCTGTGCCTAACATGGTTTCTAACAACTTATCCAACTTCCAAACGAATGACCTTAATCGCATTGTTATAGTTGAAACCTCAGTTAACAACATTATATCTAAAATCAGAGAAATTTCAAGTGCTTTATGTTCTATGATTTAAGCGTCAACATCATCCAATCAATGAGTGTATACCAATCCAATCAAAATATTGGTGTTCAGTCAGTCCACCTTAATAATAATGAAAAAATATTAACAAACGACAATTTCTATTCT